CAGCGGCCTCACGGCCGGGCCAACCCCCAGGCCCCGCCGCCCGCCCCTCCCTCAGGCCGGGCTGTGGGGCTGTGAGGGTCTCGCCCGCTTCTCCGTTTATTTACGCGCTGGTTGGCGCCATTACAGATCATTTGCCTGCTAAACGGGGCAGCCCTTGCCATATTGCTTACCTTCGCTGGGTTATTTTACTTTTTTTTTTTTTTTTTTTTTTTTAAAAAACGCTCTTAACTCCCTATAAACCTTGCATCTCTTTTCCCATCATCATTTTAGCACACCACCGGCAGCCATCAGAGTAAACCCAGGTGTGACCCCGCCACCGTCCAGTTTTGCGTAGCATTCCCTTTTATTTCTCATCTTTCATGTTTGTTTTTTTATTGTTTGGGGTTTTTTTTTAGCCCAGGTGGCTGCATTCATATTCAAGCCAATACCAGTTCATTTCTCAAGTAACATTTTATGAGGCAGCCTACCAAAGGCTTTGCCGAAGCCCAGATATATTACTTTCGTGGCATTCACTTCGCTAATTTTCTAAATTCAATGAGAGAAAGTAATCAGGTTTGTCTGACGTGATTTGTTCTCTATAAATCTATGCTGCTGCTTTATTGGTCGTAGATCTCTTATCCTTTGTATTTTTACATTTTTTTCTGCCTCCGTTTATTCCATCATGTCACCAGGAACAGAAGTTACTCTGAAAGGGTGATAATTGCCACGATCACCGCTTCTTCCCTGCTCCCCTCCTAAAAGCCTGGTACGCCAGTTGCTTTTCCTCAGTCCTCTGGCACCCTCCCTAGTTTGTCAAGATACTTCAAAAAGAACCGAATCCTTGAGTTTGCCATTGATTCCTACACCCCAGTAGGACTGCCGTCGTTTCACTTCACTGAGCACTCTGCATGCCCTTTCTCTAACTAGTCCTTTATGTCGGTCTGAGCTGTCATGTTAACATTTTCATTACCTTTTAGTTCTTTCAGAAATTTCTTTGGAAAAGAAATATTAAAAGAAGAAAAACAGGCATTAGGTAGGCAATTTTTATCCCATTCCCAATAGCTGACTTCATTTAAGTTACTTCCTCTGCACCGATTTCTCTGTAAAATTCTGCCCTTTTGTCTTTTTAACCCTTTCCATAGCAGTAACTCGCCCTACTTGCCTGCAGTATTTTGTTTTCCCTGCCAGTTTCCTATTTCCAGCACAGGGGTTTTCTTTTTACTTTCGGATCTGAGAGCAAATCCCTCCTAAAATCTAATCCTGTTTCACCGCTGCAATCCTTTTTCATGCTTCAGGATATAAAACAGCTACAAAATGTCTGGGTTAGAGAGAAACTCCCCTGATGGGAAGGTTATTCTGTAAACATCCACTTCAGAGCTTCTTACCCCTTCATTTCAAGCACTCGGTACTGGCTGCCGTTCCAGGCAGGGTAACAAACCAGACAAACGATTGTGTACAAGAAATCCTGTTCGGATGTCCTGGGGAGATGGCAGCAGATGCCCATTCTAATTTCTCTTGGTTTACCTTCATTTTCCCAAATAGTTCTCTGCTGTTTCTGTTGGTTAACAAACTGGTTTGCAACTGGTATAAATTTTACTTCACACGCCCAATTTTTTAGCCATTTTCCACACTTCAAAACAAATTTCAACAGCTGTTGGCAGCGTTTGGCCTGAGTAAAGGCAGCAGATTGGTGTGTGGGGTTGATTTTCTGGGAGACGGCAAAAGCAAAAGGTATGGCAGAAGCTGCTTTTGCAATTGCAAGAGTTGCAAGAGATAAAAGGGTGCATTGACATGTACAGAGAAAAATCAAAAAATTGGGAATAGGAGTTGGAGAAATACAACAGGGCAGTTGGGTTAACCTGGATTTGAGCAGTTATGGTATATCTGTCCTGTCTTACCAGGTTTACGCTGAAGTGGGCCACTGACCAGAAATTTTGAATCCTTGCCTGCATTCAACTTCATCCTGTGTCCCGGGAAATTGTTTACTCTCCATGTAGTTTGCAGGTTCCTTGCATGGGCGACGGGAACTGGCCCATCTTCTCAGCACTAGTTTTGCTTGTGAAATGCTCTGGGGATACAAAACGTTCAGCACTCTTATCCCGGCTGGATTGTTATCCATCGCTGGGCTTTGTACGTACAGGTTTCTTTTTCCTGCCCAGAGGCTGTAGTCACCAGCGTTGAACAGTTGCTGGGCCCGGAGGCGGGAGAGGAGGTGTTAGCGGTGAGGGATGGTGAGGGACGTTTCGGAGGTGGGCAGGAGAGGAAGCTCGGCAGTGCCTTGGCCCAGCTCCCTCTCCGGCAAGCAGCAGGAGAGGTACGGCCCATTAGGTCAGGGAGAGTAGAGGGGTCATTGCTCTACCCTAGCAAATGTTCTGCCTGGTCCCATGGTGCTGCTCAGCAAAACCTTCCAGGGGTTAAAAGGAAAAAAGAGAGAGACAGAAAGGGGACAAGAGACAAAGGGAGGAATAAAGTCAAAAAATGTGCCGTGAAGCTTCTTGCAGCAAAACGCGGAGAAAGTCATTTCCAACTTCTTTCATCTCGGAGATGAAGCCACTAAATAAAAGGGCAGCGCAGAACACAAGGGCTTTTAATCTGTCTCATCTCCTTCATAATAACTGCAAATTTTCCCTGGGCTCCTGGGAGTGAGCCTCTTTCCTCTGTCTTTGCCTTATCTCCCCCCTCCATATTTCACAGCCGGCTCGGCTCCCC